ATTAAGAGAACACTGTAATTAGCTATATTGAGTTTTAGCTTATTGCATATTATATAGTTTTACCACTAATTACATATTAGTGGCAGGTCGATGTTGAAGTTTGAAGTAAGTCATTATTATGTAGGGCAGGCGTGGGCAACCTTTTTTTCCAAGGGGCCAAAATAAAATTTTTTATATGCGCCACGGGCCACACTTGAAAATCCAAATAAAAAGTATGTTTAAAGAAATCAATATTTAAGTATCTATTTCTTTTTGGTCTTGATCTATTTTTTGCTTTCGTAAAAATTATTTAAAAAAAAATCAATAAGTACTGAAAATTGACACGATTTTGCAAACAAAATTTAACAGATGTGGATAATAAATCCCCATATTCAGTTTGTATCCAAATTTTCATTTATGCTCTTAAGATTCTTTATCCCTAAAACACGTGTCGTTGTATTGCCCCACCCGGTATTATCGCGAGGAAAATTCTGGAAAATACCTGGCGGTATCTCTGAAACAATAAATGCATCCTTAACTAGGCTTTCAAACGTCTTGGAAGCTTCGGATCACATCCACTAGATGCTGCACGTGTAACATAATCATATTTAATTAATTAATTAATAAGAATTTGAAACTTGTGAGCCCTATGAAGTATTAACTATGAATTATATTAGCGGGCCGGACAAAACCTATCGGCGGGCCGGATCTGGCCCGCGGGCCGTGGGTTGCCCACGCCTGATGTAGGGCATACCCGAAATTGAATGGATGTAAACTTTCCCATCCTACGGTAACATTGTTAATTTAGACAAAGTTCTGTTTTATGCGTATGGTCTTTTAGAGGACGTGCAGCCAAGGTGTCGAATAATACCCTTCACTTATACACACATTTGGGATACCCACTCTCAGATTCAAAACACTTTCAAGTGCGTCAATATTCGCTAGTTATTCAGCTTCACTAAATCGAAATCCCCATTGCCACAACGGCAATTTTTTTGATTGGATTATTGGTTTGAAACCAATATTTTGTACTGATTTGTATAGGGAGTATAATGTCCCACACAAAAACTTTGCACAAAGGTGGCGCGACACCAGCCCTAGATTTTTAAGGTTTGACAAAGAGGATACCAAATTTACTATTTTGGTAGATAATGTAACGTAAATTTAATTATGTCGTTTATTTAGTTACATTTAATTAACAATATATTTACAACGGTCTTAAAATGGATTAACTTATGACAGTATTATCACTCGCAATTTATAACATAACAAGAACGCATCGATGTCGGAACTAACCCGAAACAGAATTGGTTGTGCTTATACAGGGTGTTCATTTGAAAACTTCCCACCAGGCATTTATCGAAAACCACTGATTAAAGGAAAAATCGCCGAGACACGTCAAAGATTTGTCAAGGTGGACAACTTTTGAACCAAGAACTACATCACCCTCTGCCCCCCAGGGTCATTACTTCAAAAATTTTAAATGACAAGTGGCATCGAGTAATTGACCTTTGATTTTTTTAAAATCGGTCGATTCGTTTTCGAGAAAATTAGAATAATTTCCACTCTTTCGCCTAGTGTGTAAACCATTCTGGAAGTAAAATCTGGATCAATAAATAAATTTTCACCATCCCAAGATTGTCACAAAGGTAACTGACAGCAAATTAAATTCTTTCTTTCCCATAGCAACAAATAAGTGATATTTTCGTTGGTTTTTGTCTTCTATCTGAACAAATAAAGATAGGCCGATTAAATAAATTAAATAAAGATTTTTCTAATTTTATGGAAAACAAATCGACCGATTTTAAAAAATCAAACGTTAATTACTCAATACCACTTGTCATTTAAAATTTAAAGGGAATGGCCCTGGGGGGAAGAGGGTGAAAGGTGAAACAGGGTGAAGTAGTTTTTGGTTGAAAAGTTGTTCGCTTTAACAAATCTTTTGACGTGTTTCGGCGTTTTTTCCTTTAATCAGTAGTTTACCATCAATCCGTAGTGGGAAGTTTTCAAATGAACACCCAGTATAGCAAACAACATTCTTTCAAGACTAGTTCCATTAATTTTTCAAACGTTGCGGGAGTGTTACACAAGCCAAAGGGCATCACCGTAAATTGCCACAGACCCGACCCTATACTAAAAACTATCTTCTCGCAAAGTTCGGGATGCATACCAACTTGCCAGTTGGCAGTAGCCGTTATTCATATCTAAGGTGGAAAACAACTTAGCACTCGTAAGCGTATCTAGCGTGTAATCTATCGGGGCAATGGATAACTACACATCTTCTACGTTGTTCAGTTGCCTATACAGGGTGATTCAAAATTGAGTGCAAAAATTTTAAAAGCGTATACCAGCCACAAATAAGAAATTTTGTTCATATAAGCGTATGTCCTAACTTTTCTTGTTTTCTAGATACAGGGTTTTTTTTTACTAAAATCGGGTTATATTTATTTTATTCCCACTAAAGGAAGGCCCTTATATTATTATATATTATATTGTGACGACAAATAAGCCTACCAATTTTTTTTTAATCGGCTGGAAGGTTTTTGAGTAATTGATAAAAAACCGATTTTTTAAAAAACTGTTACATCCTGTATCTAGAAAACAAAACCAGTTAGGACATACGATTATATAAAAAAAATTTCTTATTTTAGGCCCTTAAAATCTTTGCATTTAAAGGAAGTAGTTTGTAGAAAACTGTTGCTTTCGTTGAGACCTTTAATTAGAATACAATGAGAGATAAAATTAATTTTTAACCCCCTCCCCCCCCCTCAGGCCTCGTCGCTCACTGATTTCGAAAAAGAGTCGCACGGGAAAGTTAAAGTTTCTACAAACCAATTTATTTCGATGAGACTTTTCATTAGAATACCATGAAGGGTGCAACATGTGTTTACCCTCCCCCCCCCCCCATTTTCTAAAGGTTAAATTGGCACCACTAAAGGCATGCGTATGCAAAATCTGAGACCAATTGCACCTTTTACTTTCAAAAACAGCATCTTAGGAAATAATTCGGGGGGGGGGGGTGGGGGGGCTTTAAACAGCGAAATTTGATGGCCGTCTGGCACACCTTCAGAAGTGGGTCCGGACGGACGGACAAAACGCAAACAATAGCACTTTTTTTTAATTCTTAAAAGATGGGCTAAAAAAGTAGACTTGAAAATTGAAATCGTTAGAACTCACTTGAATTCCCATTCAAATCATTTGAAATAATCTGAAATTACATTTAGAACAGATAGAAAGCCTCACTGAAATCATATAAAATCTCATCCACACTTTTTAAAATTCTACTGAATTCACTAATCACTGAAATGCCCATGAAATCACTGATTTAGGACTAAAATAATTTGAAAAAACAATCATTGAACTCTAAATACATTTCCATCCGACATCGACACATCGTAGCTGTAGTCACAGATTATGCAAGTTAAGATCGTATTAAAGTCGAATTGAGATAATCTAAAATCACTTGAACTCGAATTGAATTGACATTCCCCCGAAACTCTCTGAAGCAACTATATATAAATCATGTTAAGTCACCACCAAATCACTAGAAATGTTGAGATTCAGAATACGTTAAGTATTTTGAATCTTATTGAAATCAGTTGAAATCACATTAAGAGCACTTGAATAACTCATTGCAACCTCCTGGAATCTCGTGATCATTTTCATTAAATAAGTTGATATCACATCAAACCACTTGAAATCTGATTGAAATCGTCAGATATCGTGTTAAAATCCCATTGCAAGTACTTTAATGTTACTGTATTGAAATACATTTAAAATTATTCAAAATCTCATTAAAATTGCTTGAACTTGGATATCACATAGGATTCGCTTCAAAGTCTAAAAGCATTTGAAATCTCAAATTAACTTGAAATTTCGCGAAATGATACGGAATCACATAAAAATCTTCTGTACCCAAATCACCTCAAATACTATTGAAATCTTGTCACATTAAATTCACTTCAAATGTCTACAAAATTAGTTTAAAATGGCATTTTCCTCACCAGAAACAACACTAAAATCACTTCAATTTTTTCAAATTCTATTGGAATCTGGTAATAATTTGAAACTACCCTAAAATCCTTTGAAATTTCATTAAAATCACTCAAAATCCTATTGAGACCATTCGAAATCGTAATAAGTTGCATTACAATCGCTCCTAATCCCAAACTATTTAAAATCACTTGAAATGAGATTAAAATAATTTGAAGCCACATTAAACTCCATTTAATAAAATTACAGGAATTATTATAATGATTTTTGTTTGTTTGTTTTGTTTTGTCCTGATAGCGTTGGCTATTGAGATATCCAATTAAATCTAGAATTAAATCTTCAGTAATATCTGAGATCTTAGCTGTAATCACAAGTCGTACAAATCTCATTGAAATCTTCTCATCCCAAATTAGTTTGCTACGTGGCTCATGATGTTTCAGCTGATAGGTAATTATTATGATCGTCTGTCTGACCGTTAGAAAAAGCTATAAGCTAGACAGTAATTCTAACCAAAACTTACACAGCACATAAGGGTCATCAGGCCAAAAATTAAGGGCGTTCATCGACGTCTTTAATTTACACAGCAGTACTTATTTGAAGTGGGGGATGTGGAGTGGGTTAAATTTTAGAAAAAGTCAAAACGTTAATCTACTACGCCCAATAGGAGTGTTGTAAGCGATGTAAAGTGACGAGACATTTAATTATAAAGTCTTTTATGGAAATTTTTAACAAACGTTGTGTTTATATTCCATTGCACAAACAGTTAACGTACCTATAATTTACCCCATTTAGTGGGCAGAAATTGTTATATTTAGCACTTAATTTGAATGAACCGGGCGTTATTTATAAATCGAAAATACACCTCGTTCGACAAATGCCTTTTAAGTTGAAACGAAATTTGGATTGATGTCAAAAGCACTCCAAACTTCGCACTGCATTTAGCACTCTTTGATAATTTTTCATTGTTAACCCCAATTTACAGAGAACAAATGCGACCCGAGTATGTAATTATGTCTCTTTTTTTCCAGGTTCGCCGGAATGCAGAATTGAAACACGAATTTTCAATTAAAGAAGACAAACATCGGAGTGCGTCCCTTCGCTAATTAAAGATTTTGTAAACTAAGTGTAGATACTAAGTAAACCATTGTAAAATCCATTAATCTTTCAAAAATAAAGTCGGGATCTTAAAACTGCATGTGAATTCGGTTAGTCCTCGTAACAACCGGTCGGAAAAAAAGGGGTAAAAATGTCTTGTCAAGTTTCATCGAGATCCCCCTGTATTTTATCGCTCGCACGGAGTCTGAAGTTGACATCTCAACCCCTTGGAGATATCTCCCCTAGCTTTAATGCATTTCAGTTTTTTCGTCTTTCCCTTCTAATTTTAGTGCCAGATACTTTTCTTTTCCAGTTTCCTTTTCGACGAGTACAATGCGCATTATTATTTTTGTATATACTTACCATTGAAAGCTTCGCGATTACTTATAAAATGGAAAGCGACGAGGAGGACAAAATGTAACAGGTTTATATTCGGTTATAAATTTTAATGGCTTCGCTTTACAATTTAATTTAAAAGGTACGATCGCTATGTAAATATTTTCGCCAGTAAAGCAAAACCAACGAACAGCGTGCTCTTATTTGTTTGTAATTTAGAGCTCAATGCCTAATTTGCATAACAGCCTGTCCGAGATTCTCTACTACGTGGTGTGATTTCTTAGTCTTAAATCGCAAAGCCAGGAAATACCAATTCGTTCTCCAGTGATCAACTAGATGTTATTTCTTTGTCGATTCGTTGTTTGCTGCCACTAAAACAATAAAAGTACAACCTTGGATAATTGTTAAAAGTAATAAAATTTACTTTAGAAAACACCTAGTTAATTTATGCTAATTGCCGTTGATAGGTTCTGATAAACCTGATGGAAATTGAAGTTGAACGCTCCCGTCTTCTCGTTATCTCCAGTATTTAAAGAAACACCTCTACCATAAAATAAACTTCTTAATCAATTTTCAAATAAGTCACCAATCACGACGGAACGCCGACATGAAACGTGCAATTTTTCGTAACACTTGCATCTTCTCGTCCGTTAATTAAATTCCGTAAGATAAAAACTTCTTATCGCAAACGACCAGATGTGTCTAACTTAAAGCATCTTATCTAAATTGAATGTTTATAAAGCGATAAAATTTAAACAACAATTACGTATTTACAAGTAATTTTAAAAGGAAAAAGGAAAACTGAAATACAAATTCAAATGAAACGATCGAATTTTGTGTTTCCCCTACATTCACTTAATAAATTTAAATATTCTCATATACAGAATGTCCCATTATTTTTGGTGTTTAGTCATCAATTTTACACAACATTACATATTATATTAGTGACCAACATTCTACCATGTAGGTGTAAGATTCCTGCTTTATTAATTGTGTTCATGTTTTTCTTTGACTTCCTCTTCTCTTTTTGTTAAATGTTTAAGGAATTAGCAACTCCTGGACGAGAAAGTTATGCAAACAAGGGAAAACTAATTACTAATTTGTGGTAATTTAATAGAAAATACGGTATGCCTGACTCAATCTCTTATCTAATCCCGAGTGTCAAGGTTGCGGGTGGGTTGATGGTTGACCTAGTTTGCTGTACTCGTACAGTCCCAACTCCCGCTCCCTCTTTTCTCCGCCCAAGCCCAATTCACAATATCTAATTGTCTTCTCTAATGAAATGAAATCACGTTGGTATTGATATTAGTTACTTTTTTGATCGATTTTTTAAAGTTATAGATGTAGAATAGATGTTCTTTGTGAACGTACCTAATGCTATCAACAGAATCTTCAGCAGTAATGATGAGGCTGTCGAGTTCGCTGGCTTTGGATATGGGGGTGTTGAAGACGTCGGCGTCCTTATCACGCTGCTTCATTTTGATGCTAGTATCCAAACTTTTTATAGATAAACACGGAAACAGCAGTCACCATGGAGGATAGAAAAGATTTGGGACGCACTGCTATCATGAGTGCATGAGCCAGAGCGATACTTTTTTTTCCAAGTGGAGCCTATGGTGCGGATGTCCTCCAAGATCATTTTTCCAGCTGCCTTCGCAATTCGATGTCTTTCTTCCTATGCTCCCTCTTTCCTTTCAGTGGAGTACCAGTTATCGTACAGATTTTGTCACCAACCCTCTTCAGTCTGACAACAGGCCCCTTGCTTGATTCTGAAATGATGATTTGGTTTCCACATTTCGTCTGAAGACTATTTTTTTGTTTTTCTGTGTGGTTGATTGTATTCTTCAATTAGCTCCCTTCTAATCCCTTGTTCCCACCGAATCCCTTTTGTGTTCATCCTTGTCGCTAGCCTTTCTTCCTCTAATTCACTTTCCTTTTATTTTCTTTCCTTGAATCTTACTGCCCTGCATCACGAATATATTATTATTTTCCCCATTTTTATCCTCATACCTCCGCTCCATACGTCGACGACCCTCTTACCATTGCGTCGAAATGATGTTTTCTTGATTTGAAAAAAGTCCTCTCTCCTATTTCCCACACCTGTCTCATCGTCACTTTTGTCCTTTTTCTTAATTCTTTTATTTAGTTGCATTTGGTATCCTAGGTAGGTATTTAAATTCTCTTACTTCCTCCGCGCTTTTACTCTCCCACTTCCATTCTATCACCTCCCTCTTCTCAAATCTCGACATTTGATTTCATTCCTTTTCTTTCTCAGCAGCTCTCTATTTTTCTCATTTTTCTCATTTTGTTTTTCGTTTCTTGTCAATAGTACAGTGTCATCCGCATCACGATTCTTCCACTTTGACCGAGACTTTGACCCTGTCTCCATATCCCTTATGTAGAAATTAAATAAGATTGGACTAAGTGGGCTTCCCCATCTCAATGCTTTTATTGTCCAGAACAGTTCTCACTCCTTCCTACCCTACTTCATGTCTCTCCATATAACTCATTAAATTTGTTCTTTACATTATATGCTTTTTCCCTTTCCCTCTCTGCCAAACGCCGCCCTTAATCTCCAATTCTTTTCCCATTAATCTGTGTAGTTCGTATACATATACAGCCTATTGCTCCCGCCCCTTTTCTGAAACCCATTTGCGTTTTCTCTTCTCTTCCATTTCTCTTTCCAATCTTGCATTCAGTACCGTTGCGTAGATTCTATACGCTGTCGTCATTATTGAGATTCCCCTACAATTCTCCATACATTCCTTGTCTCCTCTTTTGTAAATCGGCACGAATATCTTCCGGTAGTCCTCCTCTTTCCCATATCTTTTTTATTAGTTTCCTCAGCTTCTCCTTAATAGTATCTGTAGCGAAATCCTTTAGCTTTCCTTTTTTCAGTCTCTTTAATTGTTGCCCCTCTCATCTTGGAAAAGTTCTCTGTTTTTATTCCTTTGAGTTCTTCACATTCTTTCTGTTTCTTCACTTTTTTTCTGTTCTCGCACCTCCTCTCTTCGCTTTCTTTCTCTCTCCATCATTGATCAGTATCTGTTTCCCTTTTTTGTACATTTTCAGTCCCTCCACTCTTTTCGTTTATCTCTCTATTCCTTTTCCTTTACCTGTTTCCATGTTATTGACTTTCCTTCATACTTTCCCACTCTTCTTCTGTGCTCTCTCCTATTTCATACAATTGCTCGTCTAGTCTCTTTCTATAATCCTACACCGTGTTTCTTGTCCATAATTGTATCTCTCTTCGTCTTTGAATCTTTCCATTTATTGCTCTTTTTATCTTCTCTGTTACCTTATTTCCCTCGTGATCCGATTCTGTCTTTGTTCCTACCTTACACTATTCTAGTTCTTCCAAAATGTTTTCGTTTACTAGTATTTAAGCAATTATCGATCCCCTCTCTCTCTCTTCCATGTATGTCCATCCCCATCTCCCTTCATGTTTACATTTAGCATTCATCAACCTCCCTTTTCTGTTAATTCCAGCAACAGCTCTCCCTCTTCGTGGCATTCTTTATCTCTTCACTTTCTATCCTCTGTTTCTCTTCCCAATATCGCTTGTTCTGGCATTTAAATTGCCCCCCCCCCCTCCACACTGTTAGCCTCTCCTCCTCCATTTCAGCATATTTTCTGAATTATTTTTTAACACTTTCATTCTTTCTCTGTTATGTATCTCTTACAAACTCCTAAAATTGCAACGTCTTCACTTGCTAACCCCCCCCCCCCCCACATTCAAGAACAACATCTTAATGTTTCTCATCTCGCGTTCTATTTCGGTTTGGTCCCTTGTTCTGCTGTTCGTGTTCGTCTTCTTCTCTTTCTCCCCTCTCTACCCTCCCGCTGTTTTCTGCTTTACTGTAAACATCTCCCCGCCTTTCTATCTCCTGTTCTCTTCCTCGCTGCTCTCACTAATCCATTTTCTTTGTACACAAACTGTATTCTACAACTCCACCACTATAATCTTCTATATCCCCATCTTACTTTCTTGCCCTTGTCTCTTTCTCCCTCCACTATCTCTCTTATTTCTCTCTACACTCTTTTTTCTTCATAAGTCATGTCGTCATTTATGTATATCCTGCTTAATTTGAACTTGCCCTTACCTCCCATCTGTTCTTTCTCCATGTTAATTCCGCGACTACTACTTTTATTTCCTCCTACTTCATTCGTTTTCGCCTTTTTTACGTTCTCCTCTACTTGTAATTTTTCTTTTAGCTGTTCCTCCATTCTCTCTCTTTTTCCCTTTTTCCATCTCTACTCCCTTAATCGTTATGTTGATCTTAATTTTTTCTCTTTCTTTTCTCTCTTTTTTTTGAGTTTGTTTATCCATTCTATTAGTTCTTCTTTTTCCTTGCTCTTCCCCTCTCTTCATTTCCTCCGTCCACCGTCTTTGTCTTTGTCGAACCTATGCTAGTTCTGTTCGCTAAGCGCGCTGTGCAATTTTGAGCCAATTTGTCCATTCGCCGGACTCCATCTACATCAAGTTATCTTCGCGATGCAGACGAAGATTTTCGCAGCAGGAAGAAAATTTCCACGGTGGAGCACCTTAACTAGAAGCCAGCGCCCAGAAGTCTGTGGTTTTTAATCATTGGTGAGATTTGTGAGAACCTAATACTTTAATGTGTTTAACAATAAATATTTCCCCCACACAGTACATGGTTTGTTGCAGCATTACCGTAATATTGTTAGAAGGATAATGATTTATCAATGGCCTTGCGTTATCTTTGCA